TTCTGAGCAATGCCATTTAAAGCAAAGTCAGTTTCGAGTGATGCACTGAAAGCTAAGCTAATTCTGATCAATGCAGTTTAAACGAAAGTCCATTTTGAGTGATGCGTTTAAAATGAAGCCAATTATGATCAATGCAGTTTAAATCAAAGTCAATTCTGAGCGATGAACAAAGCCAATTCTGATCCATGCAGTTTAAAATAAAGTCAATTCTGAATGATGCATTTAAAACGAAGCCAATTCTGATTAATGCAGTTTAAACAAAAGTCAGTTCTGAGTGAAGCATTTAAAATAAAGCAAATTCTGATCAATGCAGTTTAAAGTAAAGCCAATCCCGAGTGATGCTGTTGAAGGCAAAGCCAATTCTGAGCGATGCATTTGAAACAAAACCAATTCTGATCAATGCAGTTTAAAGCAAAGCCAATTCTGAGCGATGCATTTAAAATGAAGCCCATTCCGAGCTGCTGATTAACGGAAAGTTTTTATGAGACGGGGTGGGTAGTGACGGGGGAAATGGCGAGGCTGTGTGTAGCTTTTCGCAGTCTGAACTGGTGTGGCGGGATTTTAAAATTTTAAAAAAAAGAAAAGAAGGAAGACGACGGAGGGACGCGCCAGCCATACCTCCTGCCTTGGTGTGTTTTCCCATGCCGTTAATAGGAAAATGAAGTTGGAGAAGGAACTGGCTTCCGAATTTTGGCGTGTCAGCTGGGACGATGTGCAGTCGAGCAACCTGGAGAAAAACCTACGCAGCATGGGTAGCAAAGTCACCCTCTCGCTGGTGCGTCTCCTTGGTGGATTTCAATGGTTTTTTTAAATGTGATTTATTTATTTTTTGGACTCCATACTTCCCCCCACCCAAAGCCCTGGTTGGATAATTCTTTCCACATGTGTTCCCTTTGGGGGGCAGGGCATACGCCACCCCTTCGAGGTAGGCAGGGGTGGGATTCAAAAATTTTAATTTTGTATTTTTTAATAAATGTATTTATTCAACATTTTCAACATTAAAAAAAAAATTTCCACTTTTTACAACAATTCCTTCCTTCCTTCCTTCCTTCCTCCTGCTCCTCCCTTTTTTTCCTCTCGTCCCTCCCTTCTTTTCTCTCCTCCCTCTATTCTTTTCTCTCCTTCCTTCCTCTTCCCTGTTCTCCTTCCTTCCCCCTTCCTTCCTTCCTTCTTTCCTTCCTTTCTCCCACTTCCTCCCTTCTTTTCCCTCCTCCCTCTATTCCTTTCTCTCCTTCCTTCCTCTTCCCTGTTCTCCTTCCTTCCCCCTTCCTTCCTTTCTTCCTTCCTTCCTTTCTCCCACTTCCTCCCTTCTTTTCTCTCCTCCCTCTATTATTTTCTCTCCTTCCTTCCTCTTCCCTGTTCTCCTTCCTTCCCCCCTCCTTCCTTTCTTCCTTCCTTTCTTCCTTCCTTCTTTCCTTCCTTTCTCTCACTTCCTCCCTTCTTTTCTCTCCTTCCTCTATTCTTTTCTCTCTTCCTTCCTTCCTTTATTTTTATTTTTTTTATTTGATTTGTCCATCGCTTACAAGATAATAGATATAAGTATAAACATGAGTAAGAATACAGGAAATAAGTACAATTAAATGGGGACAATAGGACAGGGACGGTAGGCACGATGGTGCGCTTATGCACGCCCCTTACAGACCTCTGAGGAATGGGGTGAGGCCACTTCTCAAAAGGAAGAAGCAAAAGATTGACCATTTGTTTCTTTTTTGGGGGGGGGTCTCCTCCTCCTCCCCGCTTCCCCCCTCTCTCTTTTCTTCAGAGGGGTTCAAATTACGGATCGTTGCTGACCACCGAGGGGCAATTCCAGGTTTATGCCAAGACGGCTTATTACAAAGTAAGTTTCACCTTGCGGGTCGTGGTGGTGGGAAATGGGGAAGGCCCTGGGTTTGAGAGGGCTACTCCTGCATGGGGGGGGGGGGTCTTTGGGGGGGGGGGTCTCTTCTTTCGCCGCAACGCCGGGTCCCCTTCCTCTTTTTTTTTCTCCCCCCCCCCAGGGAAACCTTGTGGCGGTGAAGCACATGAACCGGAAGCGCATCGACCTCACACGAGACGTTTTGTTTGAGCTGAAACACGTAATTACATTTTATTCTTCTGTCTCTTTTTTTTCTATCTATCTGCCTTCTCTCTCTCTCTCTCTCTCTCTCATCTCATCTCTCCATCCATCCATCCATCTATCCTTGTCTGTCTGTCTGTCTATCTATCTACCTACCTACCTACCTACCTATCTATCTTATCTATATCTATCTATCTATCTCTACCTATCTATATCTATCTCATCCATCCATCTATCTCTATCATTCTCTATCTTTCTATAATCGATCACTTTCTCTTTCCCTTTTCCTATTTCTCTATCATCTCTGTTCTTCTTTTCTTCATCTCTCTTTCTCAAATTATCTATCATCTCTGTTCCTTCCTTCCTTATCTCTCTCTCTTTTCTCACTATTTATCTTTCTATCCTCTACCTTTTCCTTCCTGTCTCTATCGTGCTATCTATCTCTTTTCTTCCTTCCTTTCTCCCTTCCTTCCCTTTCCTTCTTTTTCCTTCTCTTCCCTCCCTCCCACTCTTCCTTCC